ATGTTTTTTCTCATATAAAGAATCTAGGCTTTTCTTTTAAGTCAGGGGAGCAGAAGAGTGATTGTTTGAGGCCAGTGATGGGCACAAGAGAGGATGACAGGGGATGAAGATGAATGAGATTTTCATAATTGTTTTGTATAATTAATATATTCTCACAAAATCAATTTAAATAGAAGATAGGAACGACTGTGTGAGAGGATTGCACCAAACTTGAATGTGGCCACTAGAAATGTGTTCATTAAAACAGCTCTTTAATATATCTAAATATTATTTCCATGCTGAAAGATTTTTTTAGGGGAAAATAATAAGGAGGCAGGTTGAACAGTCCCGGTAAGAGAATTTCACCATCCCAGAATAATGTATGATCGAGGTCACAGAGTAACAAGAAAATAGAAACAATCACACCAAGCATTTACATTCCAGACCCTGTGGTAGTCACTGTGTTAGAAAAATAGTGATGCCTGAGCTCGTACATGTATATATTATATTTTATCATTTGGTTGAGAAGTTCTGTAGAATGACATCAGTTTATTAATCACATAAAGTTCCAACACAGCCCAATTTGAAAAATAAATTAGAATTCACAAAGGAAATATCCAGATAAAATTCAGCTTTTAGGTAATTAGTTGCCAATGGCGTATTTCTGAGCACACAAAGCTTCTACTTTGTTTAAGTGCAGTTTGTTAATGCCTGTGGTTTAGGTTCTGGCCCTAAGAAGACAGCCATTTTGCTTACACTGTTGGTAGAAGCAACTCTGTGACAGGATCATTGGCACATTTTTCTCAGTGATGAATTGCTTTAAATTCATCACTGCCACAGACAAATTAACAAAGCAAATATCCTACAGATCTCAGGTCACAACCACACTCGGAAGGACAAGCATAAATGAAAACTAACATCCCTCTTCCTTAGCTCTTCTAATTTATCTCCTAGCTATCTGTTTTGAAGTACTCATGCTTTGAGTTAAAAAAAAAAGAAAGAAAGAAAATAGTAAAAGCCTACTTACACAAAATAAATTACCCTCTGATATCCAGTTCAGTAGCTTAGTGTTTAAAACAAAAAAAAAAAAAAAAAAAAAGAAAGAAAGAAAGAAGCAATGCAAAGTCTGTGGTGGATTTTCTGCTTTGGTAAATAGGTCACAGTTTGTCAAATCTGGAATATATTAAGGCTTTGTGGAGTTCTGTTTTTCCCATAATTTCAGAAGTAGATAAATCATATTTAGCAACCAAAGGGAATTGCCTCTCAGCTGACTGATAGGAAAAGTAAGAGGAGAAAGAAGGGAAAATTTAGGAAAGTTGACTTAGAAAGGTGTTCCCAAGATACAAATATACAGAATTTTAAGTATTTCCTAGGAATGTCAAAATGTAGGAACCATTTGCTGAATAGATGTGAACAACCATGGTAACTCTCCTTGGTCTTCAAATACTGTGAACAGTTTATAGAAGCCACAAGTCATGCCTATGTTTTCTTTATAAGAAACTTCTGAGATTTGGGGTTAGAATTTTAAACACAAGAAGAAGAATAAGCGACATTATAAGAACTCATTCCTACTCTGCCTATGTGTTTTTCATTGCAGTGGTAACATGTTTTACATGAACTTATTTAATTTCCTCTCTTTTACTAGGCTAAATATAATAATGAAGGAAAAACACTGGAGCCCTTTGGCAATTCCTCATAAAAGAGAAACATAATGGCAATGTACTTCACCTTTCAAATAAAAGAATGAAGTATTTTCTAAGTTTTTACCCAAAATAAATTTGAGGCACCAGAACTTTTTAAGGTGATAGAACTATCACACAATGCATATATGTATCAAAATGTCATTACCTCATTAACATATACAAATTTATGTGCATATGTATTAGTAACACATAATGTAGTTTTAATAAACAAAATTGGGAAATATAAATGGAAAGTGCTGATGCCTTATTGCAAGTTTCAGTGTAGAATTTTTCTGCCTCAGTGCAAAGCAAACTAAAATCAAACATTTACATGAGATTCAGATACCTTCCTTTACTCATGTTTACAATAAGAACAACATAGTTGGGTGGTGGTGGCACACGCCTTTAATCCCAGCACTCGGGAGGCAGAGCCAGCCAGATCTCTGAGAGTTCAAGGCCAGCCTGGTCTACAGAGCAAGATCCAGGACAGGCACCAAAACTACACAGAGAAACCCTTTCTCGAAAAAAACAAAAACAAACAAACAGAAAAACCACAGCAATAAGAGCAACATAAACCCTGATTATACTAAAGTTTCCAAAGTCCTGCCAAAGAGTTACACAAAAGAAAATTCCTTTACATAAAAATATCAATAACAAAGTTAACATAATAATACGAGTTGTATAAGATGCATTCTAAGGACTGTTATAATAAACACTACTTCCTTAGGGCTTCCAGGCTGTGCCACTTCTAGCAACAAACTAGAACCATCCCAGAATCGTGTCATTCTCAACCACTTCTCACATCTTACTGTGATCCAGACATTAAGCCAAAATAAATAAAATTTGGACCAAAAAAAAAAAATGGGGTTTTCTGACAATCTGAGTGTTGCATCATTTTTAGGAAAAAAAATCAGTAGAGGTATAAAGTCACATAGAAGGATTTAAAATGATTTTCAAATAAGCTCCCTTCTTCACTGACAGCCACTGTGACGGCCTGATAGTTCCCTTCCACAATGTTACAGCTCAAATTAAGAAAAACTGGGGATAGCTTTTGAGACCCCTGGAAATCACCTTCTACCTAAAGCCACAAAAGCAGACATGACCAATAATAGAGCCCATTTGGTCCATTATTTCTTTTGAGCACACTCATACTCTCTGATGCTTTGCAGGGGTACTGGGATGGATTTTGGTTTCCGAGACTGAAGACATGGAACCTTTGATAAAGCTTTGAGTGGCTTGCATGGCTTCCTCCTGCCCAGCCCTCCTCCCTCAGACGGGTGTCTTTCTATCAGAAGCATGTGCCATTTAGACACAGGCTGGTGTGTGGTGGGTCTGCTACTGTTAGCTGAATTCCCCTCGTGGTTCTTATTGTCATTAATTTTTGGGAAAGCTTCCCAATACTGTGGATCATCTTCAAATCTGTAAAGTGAGGTAGTGTAGGCGTAACAGCCTCAAGTAAATGTGCATCCTGAACTGGTTTAATCACCTTATTAATATTCAACAGCATCATTTTCATTTCTGTAGCCACTGCCCTAGTTCATGTAAACAAACATTCATTTGTATCTAATAAATTGCTATTAATGCTGTAGAATCTTAAATATTGCTTTTAATAAACATTTAGATTATTGCAACACCCATTTAACTTCTCTCACACAACTCTATTGTATATCAAGCTGCCAGAAAGAGAAATCTCCTGATTTTATGACCATAATATGTACTTTTCCCATTTATGAAACAAGTTTATTATGTAACAATCAAAACTACATGTGCCTCAAGTGACATTTTTTTTTTCACCAAACTCCTGTATTTTCAGTTCTACTGTCTAGATGATCTTTTCTGACTTCACCGTGTCTTTATATTTTAACAAGCACACTTAAATATTTTTGTGACTACCAAATAAAATACATTTATAATCTCAAAAACACAAGTTTTCAGAATTCCAACATCAGCATATACTAGTGCATGGGTAAACACAACAAAGGCTCTTGCCTTGGTGTCTTGGGCAGAATGGACGGTGTGTGTGTGTGTGTGTGTGTGTGTGTGTGTGTGTGTGTGTGTGTGTGTGTGATGTGTGTGTATGTCTGTGTGTGTGTGATGTGTGTGTATGTCTGTGTGTGTGATGTGTGTGTATGTCTGTGTGTGTGTGTGTGTGTGTGTGTTTATCAAGTGCCTGAACCTCTGCTTGATTTTATTTTCCTATGTTAATGCCCTATCCTCTTTACAGAAGAAATTGTACATCTATACAGAATATACCTCTGCCCAAAGAAAGAGAAGAGTAGAGTTACTAACCAAGGGCAAACTAGTTTAACTGTATGGTTTAGTTATTCAAGCAGGGACTCCAAGGGGTCTTCACAGCTTAGTTGTATGGCACATAAATGGTACTGAGTCATGTCTTGGCCTAATAATTCACACTGAAAATGAGAAGATGATGATAACCTTAAACTGATGCTCTCAAAACTACTGGAGAATATGGAGCCTCAGCACTGCCTCCTTGCATGGTAAGAACATTGACGTGTACTAATACTCATTTTAGAAGTCTTCATTGGGGCTGGGCAGATGGCTCAGGAGGTAAAGTGCTTGCTATGGAAGCATGAGGACCTGCGTTCGGATCCCCAACATCCATTCAAAGGGCCGGACATCATGGTGCACACTTGTAACCTCCTTCTGGGAGGTGGGATGGGGCATCCTTGAGGCTTGCTGGCCACCAGCCTAGCTTAATTGGTGAGTTCTGGGTTCAGTGAGATGGACTCTGCATCAACAAACTAAGGTGGAAATTCACTGAGGAAGACACCTGGCACCCACCTATGGCCTTTGAATCCACTTGTGCTCTTGTATACTTACAGTCACACAGGAGCACACCACAGACACAGCTATACACACGGACACACAGACAAACAGAGACATAAACACATACACAAAAAATTTCCACTAAACAGGAAAATGCTGAACACTTGTTCTGTCCAAGGCTTTAAAATTTAATTTTTTTCTTTAATGAGACTGTTCAAAAGCCGAGATACATTCTTTCTGTGTCATGGTAGAGCTGCTTTTTGGAATCATACATCTTTACCCTCAATAGTCTGCAACATCAGCTGCAAACCTTCCACACAGAGTCCCTGAGTGACTGAGAAAATCTGTTGACTAGTCCTACTGTGTGTTGACTCTATGAGACAATCCCAACAACTCACAAGTCAGACACAGACACAAGGTTCAGAGTTGAATACATGCTCTTCCCTCTCATCACCCACTGGGACACCTGTCCCCAGGATCTCCAATTTCTTCCAGATAGATCCTTCATTGAATCACACCAAGCAGTTTCTTATATAGATTAATACCACATACACATTTCCAAAATCATGTTTTATTAAGTTCATTTGTATATTCAAATAGTATTTCTACAAAATGAAAAAGTCTTTTTATTTAAAGATCTCAACAATTTGATTGCTTTTTATAGTGCTGGAGTTTCTATTATTCCTTTATACATTTTTATTAATTATACCCCAAACACTGAAAGCTCCATGGCCCCTAAACACAACTTGTACTTAATTATGTCTTTTTCAAACTTGAGCTTAATCACCTTTTCATTATTTTGTACTCCGAAAATGCTTTATTTCAAGTTAGTTGCATCAGCCAACAAACATTATGAATTTTCCTCAGCAGTGTGTTGTCTTCATTAGCAAATTGCATTTAGAAATCTCCTAATCCAGTAGTTCAAGCTGCAAGGGATTTTATTTCCATTCTCACTGGACTTCTGGCAGTATCTGCAAACAGGAAACAGTTTTGGTTGTCACAATTGAAGAAGTGATAGTTCTTCAGTCCTAGGAAATATTTTATCCCAAATGTCAATAGTTTTGTTAATGAGGAACCCTAACCTAAAGCAAATGATTTCTTTATTTTAATCCTTTTACTTGGTGGTGGTGATGTATGTAGTATGTGCATGCATGTATGTGTGCATGTATTTATTACTGTGGTGTGTCTGTGTGTGTGCATGAATGTGCTGTGGTGTGCATAGTTTGTGTTTTGTGTATAGTGTATGATTATCTATTCTTGAATGTATACCACTAGAATACTATGATTTCTTATGTGATTTTATTATCTTCAAAGCCTGGCATAAAATCCTGACATATAGGTACTCTAAAATATTTTTAAAATGTAAAATTATATAGACTATCTCATTCATAATTTTACAAAGAATAAACATGCAGGAAGAAATTACTTACCAATAAATCTGTGTCATATTCAACATATAATTTCTTTGATGAATTTGATAACTCAGTTGCCATTTGAATATTTCAATAATGAAAATCAGTATTGTTCTGGTAAAGAAAAAAATACTATGAGTCATTTATATTTGCCATCAATGGAAAGAAAACACACACTTTAATAATAGATGAAAAGTTGATTTTGGCAGATCTGTGTTTATTAGATTTTCCTCATGATAAATTTGTCAAGATTTTATTGTATACCAAGCTACAGCTAATTCTTGCTTGCAAAGGCCTCTGTGCTCAGCTGTAGTTGATTAAATCAGCTCCAATTTGTTTGGATTTTCTAAAAATGGAGAATCTAGCTGTTGGGCAAAATAAAACATTAAGTTTTCTTGCAAATTTGTCATAAATATTTTAAAATTAATGCTATTGGAATGTATAAACCACTTTGAAGTCCCTTGTGAAATGATGCATTTTGCCTATTAATGAAACATAAAATTTTACATAATATCCAATAGTTTCCCATATATGGAAAAATGAATGGGTCTTGTAGTCTCTTGTCCTGGAAGACCACATTCAAATTATTTTGCTTGCCATTTAATATTCTCCCAAGCCAGACCTTACATATGTTTTTAGGCAAATCTTTTACATATGGTCTATACTGACTGGCATATTTTATTCAGTTTCCCTTGAGAATGTCTCTCATTTTCTCCATGTGATATTTTGTCTCTATACCCTATATTTTTTCACTTGGAGAATGAACTTGTTCTTCTGCCTACAATTTGAAATTACGCAGTGAACTTTTTCTTTTGATTTCCTCCCAACCCAACTTCCTCTTAAACTACTAATTACCGTGACCTGTCCATCTGATCTGCTAAATCCCTCCTAAAGCTCAGTTCATCTCTTAGTTCACCCCTCCACCTAAAACACTGTAACATTTATCTCTTAACTAATTTATATGACCATCATTTATCCTTACCTCTGTGTATTTTAATCTTTATTTTTCCTCCAGATTCTGCAGTCCTGGAGGTGGGGACCTGATTTACAGATAGCTGTGATTATTTACATTTAGCATCCAGTATGATGTCCTGTACATGGCAATTATGACACAGCTGGATGAAGGTTAGATGAGTCACAGTTTCACCTTAGAAGTAGAAAACAGTGCAAGTTATAAAACATGAAATAATATCACCCAACATAAAAATGTAGAAAAACAAATGGAGGGAAGCATGCTAATAATCACCAAATAAAATGACCATAGTATGTTGTACACATGATAGCCAAAAGTAAAGTGTGGATCTTGTTTGGATCTGGATTTGAACAAATTATAGAGGGTCATATTTCATATAAATGGAGAAATATGTATACAAATGTGTAAAAGAGAACATTAGAGATCTATGGTATAAGAAAGGGGTATATAATTTATCAAAAGTGGTCTTTATCAGAGGTAAACACATAATTGTTTTTAAATAACAAGATGACCTTTGCTTTAAATATTCCAATAAAAATAATGAGGGAATAAGCCAATTAGCAACATTAGGCAAAATGTTGATCATTCCTGGCACAGTGAGGGTGGTATACTGTCCTTTGTACTGTAGTCAACACAGGTCTAAACATGTCTATCACTTTACTGACTTCTGCTGGTCTTTTTTACTTCTAAACTTTTCTCTCTTCAACATTCAGTATGGGTCACTTCCAGCTTAGACTTCCTGAAATTGAGCATCCACTATGGTCCCCTACATTCAAAAGTTTTTATTGGTTTATGACTGCCTACTAAGTAAAATCCGTTATTTTCTTAGCATCCCAGAACTCAGGGTGGTGCCTGTAGTGTCTACATTTTGAGACTTCCTATAAACACTATGTCAACTGAAACAACTGCATTTCCCTGAAATACTTCACATGTTTGGGTCTCTTTTCTTTGCTTTAAGATGTCCTTAACTTTTCTACGTATGATAACCTTCCATTCTGCCTTTCATCCCCTGAAGCATGAGTCATTTCCTGTCTTTCAGAATGAGCCTGTTTCTCTATAAGGTGCTAACACGCCCTGTGTATGTTTTCCTTGGATAGGGATCTATCTTGTATTATGATGCAGTATAACCTTCACCTCTGGAATTAAGTATAACCTCTCTGAAAATACGATTTACCTCAAATCTCTGACATAGATCTGTGTGTAAGATATATTTAACAAATACTTGTTAACAGGTGGGTGGAAGGTTACTAATAGTTGTAAACAATGATAGTTTGAGATCAAGAAAAGGCAGTGTTCTCATAAAAATAAAAACCATGACTTTAAAATTTAGTTTTGCAGTGATTGTCATTATTGGAAATTACCAGGCATTGGGACAAGTACAGCATTTTCACTGCTATGTTTACTCTTCTTCATTCTGTAATTTTATAGACGAGGAACAAGACTTGGCCATATTAGGTAACTTTCATGTATAGAGTTCAACTGAGTTCAAACACAAACTTCTTTTATTTATTTTTTTTTTACTGTGTTTGAGAAGCCCGAGTTCTGAGGACATGACTAAACAGCTATTCAGAAGATTAAGCAGAATGTAAACAGATGGTGTTGCCCTTCTTCTCCCTACAGCAGTAACTAGCTTCTCTCTAATTGGTTTTATGCAATGTTTAAAGTTGCTTTTTAGTTTGCCCTGAAAAAAAAGATGTAACATCCACATTTATATTTGCCACTATTTTCCATTGTCTTTTACATAAGGACTCCATGTATTTGAATTACTTGACTGAATGCATGATAACACTCCCCCACACACATTGAAATGATCATGAATTACTTTAATCTGAAAATTAGAAATTGCAAGTACTGCCCTAACACAGGCATGTGCCCATGGGCCTATTAGTCAACATATTGTAGCACACACTCACTTCTGTAATTGCTCTCAGAACCAATTTAAAATTTCATAAGAAAATTAATGTCATTATTTGATAGTTTCAGATCCCACTTGCTTTAAATAGTCTTGTTTCTTTTCAGAAAAAAAAAAAATCCTCCCTGGAAAGATGAGATAATTGTGAGAATACTTAAAATGTTCCTCTAAATCAACTCCAAAATTGTGTTTTTGAAATTTTTTTTTTTTTGGGAAATACATGGCTCTCCAAGGTGACCATTTTAGGGAACTGCTTTGAATATGTAAACCATACTATAAATGCGTGCATATATCTGCATACATTCTCCAATATGTCTATATATAAACATGTGTATGCATAGGTTGATATGTATCTATATTTCCATAGTTTATATGCTAATTATCATAAATTTACTAAATATTTGACATTTCTCTTGAGAAGAGTGACAGTAATATCCCTGTAAACGGTCCAGGGAGCGTTGGCATAGACAGGTGGATTCCTTAAGAATATTCAGGTAAGTCATTTTAAAGCATTTCCTGGACTGCTAGATGCACAGCATGCTTCTATGCTCAGAGAAGGAGACTTATGAGGCATGGCAGCCTATTAAAGCCTCAGAAACATTTGTCAAGACAAAATGTTCCATTAAGTCTCCAATACATAACATAATGGATGACTCTTCTTTTCCTTTTTTAAAGATTTATTTTTATTTTATATGTATGGTTGTTTGTCCTGCATGTATATCTGTGCATGAAGTATGCACAGTACCTTCAGAGGCCAGAAGAGAACATCATATTGTCTGGAACTGGAGTTAGATAGTTGTTAGCTACTATGTATGTGGGTGCTGGGAATAGAACAAGAGTCCTTTGCAAAGTCAACAAATGTTCTTAATCTCTGAGCTTTCTCTGCAGCCTCTGCTTTTCTCCGTAACCTTTTGTGACATCCTACTGTCTAGTTTACATGGATCCATGATAGCTAGGGTGACAATTGGGATGTGGTGCAGATGCTGGGGTTGTGTTCCTCTTATTCCTTCCAATAAGCACACACATTTTTGTGTTTTGATTAGTTTCCAGGGCTTTTATTCAGCTTCTCTTTTTGCAAATTGTATTACTATGGCACACTTTCAAATCACTGTGAGTGTCACTTCTTTATGTATAAAATAGAGATGACCTCATATCTATTAATAGTTATTTGAAAAATCAGTAGTGTGCAATATGCTTAGAAATATATTTGGCTTATCACCAGTGTGGTCTTGGACAATTCCAGCAGCTCAGTGGGGAACATTAATATTCTTATAGCAATAATCTTCTTTACAGTAGTTACAGAAATGTTACATACCCAGGTTCCTGATGCTGTAAAGTGTTTTCCCAGCCATGGGCACTACATAAGGTCTGGGATTACCAAGTATTTTAAAGTAGATGGTGTTCAGAGTCCTTGCTTCTCAGACACAGGGGTAGGTGAGTGGCCTTGGAGGAGAAGAGGAAGGTAGAGAAGGACAGTGTCTGGTAATTAAGGGGAAATGTTTTAGAACATATCATCGATTGCCCTTGTTTTTATTTTTTCTGAATGTGAGCATCTGTATGTAACCTAAGTTGGCCTTGGTCTTACAAGTCTCCTCGGTGATAGGATTAAAGGTATGCTTCACCATGCAAGACTAATTTGTCTACTATAAAAGACCATTATTCTGTTTTGTTTTAACTTGTAAAGTGATGAAAATACAGAGTTTTTGACCTGCCTTTTGTATGTGTTCAGAAAAGTTCCTGATGTTCCATGACACACAAAGCATCAGCTTCATCTGCTGGGAAAGAACTGCATCCTTGGGGCAATTTGGGAAGTTTATTACATTTTAATTTAAAAATTTTTTTTGTACTTCTGAGTCTAATTTTACTATTAGGAAAGAACAACTAGAATATGAATACATATGATGTGTATTTAAGTATGCATTTATTATCTTAACTTTTAGTTTTCTAAAAGTAAATTAAGATCATTGAGAAATAACCATGAAACTATTCTATAAGTGGCAAATCATTATAAAAACACTTAGTGATAGCAAAGGCAATAATTTGTATGGGGGGAGTTTGATAATTAGGCTTCCAATTTAACTGGAGAAGAGGCAGGGGGAGCAATACAGAGAAAGAGAGGCAAAAAAAAAACATCAATGGCAATTGAAAAGACCACAAGGAAACATTATTTTGTGCTTATTTAAAAATTAACACGCACACACACACTAATATTAGTCTCTCTCTCTCTCTCTCTCTCTATATATATATATATATATATATATATATATATATATATATATATATATATATATGCTGCTTGGGGTAACAATACCCCCTCACAAGTGGCATAGACTATTTAACACAAACCTCAGTGACATAGGAAAACTCTCCTCTAGTTCTTGGTCAAAGGAATCAAAAAGACTCTGTAAATAATGCAGGCAATTTCTATTGCCCTTGCTTGTCTTCCATAAATTGAAGGTAAGAAACTAGTGCTAAAGACACATGACTTGGAGGAATAAAGCTGGAACTGACCTGGAAGCCTCCTTCCTGAAGACTAGTTCTCCTAGTATCTGAAGGTGCTATACATGCTTCCCAGGAAAAAAATCACTACTCTTTCCTAGCTGTAAAGGCCATGAGCCACAACATGAACAGCATGACACGATACCTCCAATGTTGCAATAGTAGTGCTTGTATCATGGTGACCACCAACAGCCATTTAGTTGGATATAAGACCAGCTCAGTAGAAGTGAATTCATGCCTGGTACTATAAACCTAGTCAAACTACCCATGGCTGTGGATGTCACAGACCTTTACAGATCATTATATAAATCTACAACTGGTCAATATGAAGAGAACTGACCTTGCAGTACACATCTTCAATTCATTCATCTATAACAGAAGCCTTTCACCTAAGTCTCAACTAGCATAGCAGAAGATGGAGCAAGAAAATGTAAGAGTCAGAGAATCAGGGCTTCTATTGTGAAATTGATTTTTCTATATATTGTGGCAGGGATTTGTACCCCTAAAATCTTAACAATATGGCCACCTAAGCAAGACCTGAACAATGAAAATATCAGCTGACTTCCCAAGGTAGGTGGGAAAAAAAATCTCATAGTTCTCACTCATGGATGAAGAGCTCCAGGTGGCTTCTGGGAAATAATCAGTTTTCCACCCCAGGGATGAACCCCCTGAGAGGTTATCCAGTCCCAAGTGTGCAGCCTTAAACACATACGTATATGAGCAACACTAAGTTGATTCAGCATATTGTATTTACACACACACACACACACACACACACACACACACACACACACACACACACACCTCATATAATTGAAGAAGTCAGGAATTTGAGAGAGAGTCAGGGGGAAGTTGGAGGAATTGGGGGACTTAAAGGGTAATGTAGAAATGGCATAAATACAGTAGTCATGTAAGAAATTCTAAAAAAAATTAAATTGAATTGTTTTATATCTTAAATGAAGAACTAATCACAATCAGTATTTTCACAAATGTATCAATAAATCCAAAGATGTGATATATGTGTAAGTTAATGCATATTTATCTACAATTATGGATACATTTGATACTTAAAACAGAATTCTAATGTTTGATAACTGATCCTCTCTGCCCTGAAGATGAAGTTGCTTCAGTTATTAGTTGTGACACAATGGATTAGAAGATCAATTCTAAGATGCACTTAGTGAGATTTTAAAATTTAGCATTCAGCTGCTTCTCACAATGTCCAAAACTTGCTGATTTTTCCTTTTGTACTGAAAGGTTTTCATTAAATATGTAACATGTCTTATGTTCAAACTTTTGGCACAGCTAAGGAAATAGGAAGTATTGTGCTCCCATGTGTCTAGAGACCTTGCAAATAATTTTGTATTAGTTTTTTAGCCATAATGAACCTGTATCTCATTTACTTTATTATTATTGTTGCTGTTGTTTGAGACAGCATCTCGATATGTAGCTCTGGCTGTCCTGGAACTTACTATGTAGACCAGACTGACCTTGAAATCACAGAGATCCTTTAGCCTCTGCCTCCCAAATTCTAGGATTAAAGGTATGTGCCACAACATGAGCTTCCTTACTTATTTTTACTATGAAGTATTATGTCATCTGAGAGGAGGGATCATCAATTGAGAAAATGTCTATATAAGTTCCAGCTGTAGGCAAGCCTGTAGGGCGTTTTCTTAATTAGTGATTGATGGCAGAGGGCCCAGCCCATTGTGGGTGGTGCCATCCCTGGGCCGGTAGTCTTTGTTCTATATAAAAGCAGGCTGAGCAAGCCATGGGGATCAACCTAGTAAGCAGCCCCTCTTCAATGGCCTCTGCATCAGTTCCTGCCTCCAAGCTCCTGCCCTGCTTGAGTTCCTGCCCTCACTGCTTTTGATGATGGAACTGTGAGTGAAATTAACCTGTTCCTTCATAAGTTACTTTTGGTCATGGTGTTCAGTCATAGCAATAGTTACCCTAAGACAAATGCCAAGTTGTGTATTAAGAAGAAGTGTCTTAGTAGAAAATATAAGGAAAAATAATCTAACTCATAACATCCTGGGACTAGCTTTGCTTCCTTGATTGAAAGCCCAATGACAGCAGCACTGATATCAGAAAATGAATGATAATTAAGACCAGAAAAGTCCCCTTAGAAGTGACTCAGATTGAGATCGCACACAACAGGAGCTACGATGCCACTGTTTCTTTATCACAAATTTCTTTCTAAAGAAGGTAAGTGAAGTTAATATAAAGTTAGAAGATGAATTATAACCTAGCCATTGGTGTTGTCATGACTGTTAGCTTTTGCAGAACTAGCTGTTTTCGTAATTAACTGAACTATTTACATATAACTCCATCATTTCTCTAGATAGTTTCTGCCATACAATATGTGTACACCCCAAGTTCTAAATGTTTATATTTCAGGTAAGAGTGAAGTCTAGTTTGACACTAAAAATAAGATTAGAGAATACTACTGTCACCATGAAAGCTAAAGATGTCCTATCCTGCCCAAGTCACCTGTAGTCTATCAACAAAGCACCATCACTAACTTTTCATATTTTACTTTGGCCATATCGTTTATCCATTCACTCACTTGTTCATTCAGTCATTTAGAAATATATTCACTTAGGACTCTATACCAGATGTGTTAGATCTTTGAAATTTAGAAATGAACACATATTGTGCTTTCAAGGACAATTTTGCATGAAGACAATAGTCAGATGCTTACGGTAATGTGATAAAACCACAAGAGAAGAAAAGAGTGTATGTGGCTATGTCATGGAGGAGGCAGTATGTCCTAAAGGAATCACCAGTGCATGGCCAGAATGACTGAAAGTAGGCAGACACTGACCCAGTGGTTATATGCATATGTTTCCTCTCTAAGTCCCATATTTTACAAGACACCTGATTCTCTAGGTTCTTAAAGTAACACATTGATTCTCACTTCTAATCTTTTCCAGAAAGATATCTGAGGGAAGATCTCTCCTCCTCCTTGGGCTTTTTGGGGGTTGAGGAATTTTTGAAACTGATCAAGAACAGTGGTAAGATGGCAATAGCTCACACACGATTCAGTGTGCTACTTTGACAAACTCTGGTGTAGGGAAATGGCCCTTATCCGCAAGTCTTTTCCAGAGTCTGAGATATGGAAGGGTGTAGGGGAGGACAAAGGAATCCTACAAAGGAAAGCATCGGGTTGTTGGGGAAGTAGGTGCCAGAGAGGTCCAAATACATTTGAGCTACGATTTACCAACTACCAGAGATGTGGAGTCAGGTTTGATTAGGAAACACAGAGCAGGCATATCTTTAAATGGGTTAAGATTTTGTAGCCTACTTTAAGAAAAAATAAATGCATGTGTAACATTTTGTCCTTTTTTTTTCTCCTGGAGTCATTTTGAACTAACTGGTTTTACCCTGTAGGGAAGGAGTTAAACAACCAAGGGGCCATAGTGCAGAGGCCATTGACAGAGGAACTCCACACTAGTGTGATCCCATGGCTACTTAGCATCTCTGTTGGAATGCCAAAATCATATCATGAAAAGACCTGATCAAGACAGAAATCTTATTTCTACTATTTTTTTTTCTTCAAGTGGGACTGTCACCGAACACATGAAACAGACACCTCAGGCTTTTACGTGGTTCTTCCCTTTCCAATTCAGTCACTCCTAAGCATGTCGGAACTACAAGCATCTTCTCTGGCTTGCACTGTTCTGGTAGTTGTCTTCATATTTTATTTACATCCTCTTTCCCTGTGGTCTCCATAAAGCAGCCAGGAGTGTCTCTTATAATATGTATTAAGCCACAGTGGCCTGTTTAAATAACTTCTACATTAAGAACACTCATATCACAAGAAGCTGCATTCTCTGATCAGCACTTGCTCCTCCATGCTCTCCTCATGGTGATCCTTCCATGGCTCTCCATATCCCACTACAGATGCATGCATGCTCACTCCATACCACGACACCTGTACAGCTGTTCTTTCTGCATGCCATGGGAATCTTGCCCGGAACTTGAATGCCTGCTTCTTCTCTGTCTTCAGATGATGCTTAAATGGTAGTGTATTGCCCTAAGATAGCCTTCAAACTTCCCAACCTCATCATCTTATCTAAAGCTTTCAACTGATTTCTGGTATACATTACTGGCGATTTGCTGTTGAGAGCTGTAATTAGACAGAAGCTTCATGGGAGCAGACTCTATTTGTTGATGGCTGCTTGGTTTGTGGTTTATGTTTGTTTTTATATTGGGTATCTAGTGCAGTGCTTTGTCCATAGAAGAACCTAAATAAATATGTATTAAATGAATCATACACGTATTAATAAAGAATCAAAAAGGAAAGAACACAGTGTGAGAGGGTCTCTTACTTTAAGGACTAATCGTGCTATTTATAATGCTGTGTGGGGAGAATGTAATTGTGCCCTTGGGATGAAGGAAAGGGGGTCAAAGAGCCTTTGAATGAGGTAGTTTGCTAACCACCCAGTTAAGTCAGTGTAGACTCCTCAGCAATGCCAAGCTGACTGTGGAGTGGATGGTGATTAATTGTTCTCCAAATTGCTTAGACTGTGGGAGATGCTGTAAGAGTAGCGTTCATTAGGTTCTTGGCAGGTATATGAAGTCATATTTTCTACTGGGGCAAGAGTGAAAGACAGCAAACAGATAATCCTGTCTTTCTGCTGCACCTTTTCATGTTCTCCTACATCTTTTCTAATGCCGTCTTTCAATTCTTGCTATTACTTATGTGAGTTTTTCATTTCCCCCATTTGCTAAGTCTTGGTGGAAATTTAATCATCATGTATTAGCAGCAATCCTATCTTAATTTTGGGATGGCAACAGACAAAAGTAATTATAAAAATGACAAAAATGACTGAGGAACAATTATTAAGCATGTTGGACATTATTCCAAAGGCTTTGTGTGTCCTGTTATTTACTTCTAGGATGAGGTCTTATGAATTCAATGATTTTAGGATCTCTGCATAAGAAAGAAGGTGGAGAGAGAAGAAAAGCAGAGGTTCACAACTTGTTTGCAATCTACCACTTAGAAAGGATTGAGGCCAGAACCTGAAACCAGATGGTCTGGTTCCCAGTATACTCTTGTGATTATATTGCATTCTTCCTCTCTTCTAAGTAGTTTTGATTTGTGATAAGTGAACAAACACTCATATAATATGCTCTAGGTGTGTTCTGAAGACATCTAGGTTGGACTGTTTAAGAGAAGCAGGATGCTACAGCAGAATGGGCCAAAGTGTCCACTTACTTTTCCATCTCACTGGCTGGACAGCAAGGTTTTACTGACAGGTATTCTCCTGGGAGAGCTGGGGCTTCTCTATTAGTGGGCAGCCATAGCAGTGAACAGCAGAGGTTTTCCACCTTTTTCTTTCTGTGTCAAGCCGAAAACAAACAGAGAGGAACGGGAGCTTTTTCCCTGGAAAGGCAGATCATAAACCCATGAAGTTTTAGAAGAGAAAAAAAAGCAATTTTTTAAGGCTCCTAGTTTTCTTCTTTCTGTACTTTTTTGCTCAAGATGACTTAAGAGCTGATATAATTAATGATTAGAAAAAGCTGTTGACTTCCACTGATTCATTCTCTCAATGAATATTTATGGATATTACTATGTGCCAGGCTTTGTGTTAGACTTGGTATTTGTTTACTGGAGACAGACCCTTAGGTACAGAAAATCTATGGAGGGAAATAAAATCAAACATAAAACCCACATTTATACAAACATGCATATGGTTGTATTTTAAATATGCTACTTACACATAAACATACTTTATGTATACTATGTATTTTACACATTTATGTTTAAAATTCCACATTTTTATATGCTTATTACAGGTACAGAGTTAAAATATGCATATAATATCGTTATGTGTTTTGAAGAAAAGGGCTAGGTTCTATGACAGAGACCTACTTATCAATGATGAAAGTACTATAAAAGTAATGGTGAGTCCCTAGGGAGGGATATTTAAGGACACTCCTTATTGTTTTTATTATTATTATTTGTTGTTAGTTGATTATTTGTTTTGAGACAGGTTCTTTCTATGTAGTGCAGACTGTCCTAGAACTTACTATGTAGACCAGGCTGTTCTCAGTCTCACTCATGTAGACCTGCCCACCTCTGTTTCCTGATTTCTGGGATTAAAGTCTTAAGCCACAAGCAGCAAAGTCCCTGTAGTCCCTGGGCTGCCAGGCCTAGCCCACAGAGTATCCGGAGAAGGGACCACTCTGACCAGTGCTCTCTATAGGCCACCAAATACCCATTTATAGTGGACCTATGTACAGTGTGAGTACACAGTATGTTTATTTGATAAAGAACTAAGACACCAGCACAGATAGCAGTAAAATCTAGAAGACATTCAATTCGCAAGCCTATGCCGTGAAGAATGAAAGAAAAAAACACTGCTGTCTGTAGAGCTCCGAGTCTAATTGGGGCGAATAAACAAATGCATGAGAAATGGCACTGGAGGCAATGGACCACTGTATGCAGAGACAGCCATTATAATTGAATAAACAGAGCACGGTTGAGCTCGCCCTCTGAAAGGAAATGAGTTAGAGACGCGGCATTTACTTAATTGATGGTGGAGGCAGCGAGGACATATTTAGATGGACATGGAAATGAGGCTTAAATTTAGGCAGACAGACTCAGAGAAAGGGTGCAACTTCTGCTGGAAGAGAATGTAGCCAAGAACAGATTGGAGAATTTTCATCTCAAGTTGCTAAAGTGCTTTCATGTCTTCCCAGTGTCACTGTTGTTCAACAAAGGTATAAGTTCCTTTATGAACAGGGAACAAATAAAATGTCTTAGAAAAGTAACCAGTGTGTTGTTGAAATGCGACTTAAAACTAAGAACGGTGAGAAACAAAACACTTTCTTGCCGAGAGCTCATGGTAATTTTGACCTAGCCCATGAGACCCCAGAGCTGTCAGCGCTGTTTTAAGGGTTCAGCAAAAATGTTTTAAATGACACCTAAGTGTCAGGGAAATTTCTGGGCAGTAGATGAAAGAAGGCAGATAGACTTTTTATTATGGAGACTCAAATCTGTCAGAAAAGGGAAACATTACACTTCAAATAATGCTCCATTGGGGCACAAGCAAGAAGCTGCTTGGGATGGGGGCGGGAGGGGGAAGTTCACAGAGCCTAACAGGGGGAATTGGGAGGAGAAAGGGCCATTTGAGGAAGAGAAGCAGAGCAATAGCATGGTGTGTATGAAAGGAGTGTGGGAAATCCGCCACACAAGGCTATTTGTAGAAACTTGACATTGGTAGATGCTACAATGTTTACACCCCCAAGAAAGCTTAAGAAGCTGCAAGGTTGCAGACCATCAGTTTGGCACATGTGGTGTAGGACAGGTGAATAACTGTAATTGAAACCTTTTTGAACTGGACATGTTTTGTAGCCCTCACTTCTTTCATTGGAAAGAAAGCACAAGGAACAGGATTTTAGAACAGGAACTAATATACCATATATTCTAATTCTGCTGTTTGCACAGAGGGGAGTCTAGGAACCTCATTATCCTTTGTGACTTACTAGACCAGTGGTTCTCAACCTTCCAAATGCTATGGCCCTTTAATATAGTTCCTCATGTTGTGGTGACTCCCAACCATAAAATTATTTTCATTGCTACTTCATAGCTGTAATTTTGTTGCTGTTATGGATTATAATGCCAATATCTGTGTTTTCAGATGGTCTTAGGTGACCCCTGTGGAGGGGTCATCTGACCCATAGGTTGAGAACTATTGAACTAGGAGGGGGGGCACTATCTCTTGATAGGATAAACCAGCTCCCATGACATATATGAGGAATTCTCTGTGAAAAAGAGGGGTAAGCTAGGTTTATGCTCACGGGTAAAACTTGAGTGTGTCCTGACACTACAGTTAGCAGAAACTAAGACAGTATTTCCTGTCCCCACCTCTGGGAGAGCACAGACAGAGCTCAGGTGGCATAGTCACTTAGCAAAAGAGAAGAGATGTGAAGGGAACACTGTTTGTGGGAGATCCTGACCTGAAGTATCTCTGAGGTTGGCATGACGATGCCCGGAAAGATATTACAGCCAAGTCTTTCTTCCCCAGGAATTTAGTAAGAGCAGGTGGTCCAAGCCCAACCTGGAATCGTCCAGCCACCAATGAGGAAATAAGGATTCACTTGGAGTATCTGCATGAGGCTGTAATGCAGGTACTAAGAGAAATAGGAAATTGATTATTACCAAAAGAGAAGCTATGGAATAGGAAAAAAAAAGGGGGGGGGGATGAACCAGAAATTAATACCAGGAGTAAGTCACACCAAGATTAGACTAGCGTAGCACAGGGGAGTGACTGTCACAGCATGAGGAGCTGGTTGCTATCTGGTGGGAGCCAGAATCCAGGCACATCTGAGAGGGTTCAGTTAGGAGACGAAGCTGCGGCAGAAGTGACAAGATGAGTGAATCTCAGTGAGGGCTCTGTCTTCCGCCTGCTCCATCTCTTGTCTCCAGAGGCTCCACTTGGAAGAGCCAGCTGCGCCAGCTGGGATGACCCTGAGGGAAAAGAGCCCTGGAGAACAGATTGATCCTGATTGAGCCAGAGGAAGAGCAAGGGCAGGGTTCAAGGGCAAAGACCTAGAAACTGCAAAACCCAGTGAAGAGGGTTGAGCTGTAGAAAGCACAGAAAGGAAGCTTGCACTTTTTTTTTAGATTGTGTGCATGAAAGGTAAATATGTGCAAGACAAATCTCCCATCTGCTTGGCTTTGCTTGGCCAGGTCAGGAGGGAACAGCGACGTGCCCACTAACTACAAGACACAAATGTGCAACCAAACCTTGGTTTCGCTTTGTCTAGGGATGCTCATCAGAAAAGACCAAGTGATTATTTTTCCTCTCTAAAAAGAAATTGCTCTTTCATCAAACTTAGAATTAAGAATTTGTGTTACTAGTATATTTTATTCAGTAATTCCTTGAATTTGTCAACAAAGGTTTATTTGCCTAAATTACCATGTTGCATCAAGCTAAGATAGGGGGTTTGCTTTGAGTCTTTACTGACCTGCCGCACTTTGATAAATGTTATTGCCTAGAAGGATTCAGTAGGAAGTTTGGGTGTTTGCCTCTGTAGGAATAGTAACTGCCCGGAAAAAAATCTGATGCTCATTTAAAAGATGCACTATACGCAGAATCCAAGATGATCCCTTTAACGTAATTACTGCACCTTTCATTGACACAGGTATCTCAAGCTGCTTTGATGTGCTTTTATCATTGATTTCTACAAAACTCATTCAAGTGGGGCATTGGCTTCTAGACAATGTAAAAGCTTGGCTGATACTATGCAATCTTTAGGAGACTAAAATGTTATCTAGTCTAATCCTCTGCTGATTTGCCGGAACACACTCCCCAAGCACTTTCTCCATGCCAGACACTTTCTAAAAGGGCAACATGATGGTAGCTTATTAAATAGATTGTTTCATCAGGCAAAGAATCATAAAAGAGCATATATTTTATTCTCACTTAAGGAAGGAGAGATTAAGGCAGAGGTCTTTTCCTCACTGTTAGCCGATTGCCAATGAAAAATTCATACCTAGGCAATCTAACAACAACAACAACAACAACAACAACAACAAAAACTATTTCTCCCATACAATGCCTTCTTTAAATAGTTAATCAGCCAGCAATATCACTAATTATAGAGACACATGTTTAGCTTGCTCAGCTACGTTTTTTTACACACCCTAGGCCTATCTACCTAGGGATAACACTACAGTTTGCTGGGTCCTTCTACATCAATTAGTTATCAAGAAAATGCCTCACAGACTAATCAGGTGGAGGTAATTCCTCAATTGAGATTCCAAGGAGTGTCAAGTTGACAAGTAATAATAGTCATCACATCAAGGATGTGATGGTCCATGCTTGAAGTATCCTTAATACATGGATTCATTGTATTCTCAGCTGTCTCATGTGGCCCAAGGTAAATGAAATATTTTGGGTTTGGTCTTGTTCAATCACTACTCATAATGAATTGTGCAATTATGAATTCCCTCCCACTGTTCACTTGATGATGATCAGGCCTCTGCATGATGAGGATGAGAAGGTAGGACAGTGCAGTGCCAGTCACCAAGGAAGTCAGGAGAACAAAGTTTTGAGTGGGGCTTATTTGGCAGCCAATATAAACACTAATATTGTGCTGAGTAATTTGAAGTTGTGAGGTTTCATTCAGTTCTGTATTTCATGTGTCTGTGAGAATCCAATTCCCTTCAGAGTTTACTAAATATTACTTCAGATGGGAGGTCACTTTTTAAAAGTGTTTCTATCTTAGACAGAAAGGTCAAATGAATCAAAATCAATCAATGGGGAGGGCCAGCCAGGATTTCTTAAAGTGATCTCAGGTCTAGGCCCCCAGTGACCTAGGGCTATGACAATAGCTTCTGCCCAGGCTCTTCCTTCCAGGTCCTACATGCTCTCATTTCCTAATTCTAAAAGAAGTGGCTATCTTTACTACTAAAATTGTCTCACCCTGAATGCATGTTCCATGTCTTACGAAGTGATTGACACACTGTTTGAAAAATCAAAGCTTTCTGCCATCAGCTCACCATAATATTTTCCCATCTGTCTTCTGCTTTCTTTTCATTCTTTATTCTTCCTCGTATCTTCTCCCTCTGAACATGTTTCAAAATGTCTCCTGAGATTCCACCCGCAGAATATGAAAATCCAACCATTCTCCATCACAGAAACCAATGCTAATGATGTTTGATCTCACTGTGGCCAGTAAGTAGCGTGAGATAAAGATCCTTGGTTATCTTTTTGGCTATGACTTTAAAAGCTTTCTCTATCTACCCAACCAAAACAGTGAGAAACCAACCATCTCTTGCTAAAAGATAGGAAGCAGCAGATTGTGCTTGAGAAAACTTGGGAAGCCGAGGTACTGTTGATGGATAGGCTTGGTGGCTTTGCTGCTTCCTGTGGAGGGACTGATCTGAGTGAAGAGCTGGATGGCTTTGGCGGTTTGAATGAGATGTCCTCTGTAGTATCAGACATTTGATCTCTTAGTCCCTAATTGGTGGCACTGTTTGGCAGAAGTATGTCACTGGAGGTGGACTTTGAGAATGTAAGGACTCCTGCTACTTCCTGCTGTCTCTGCTTCTGGCTTACGGTTTGTGATGTGAGCTTGGATGCTCCTTCAGCGCCCATGCATGCTGCCTGCTGTCTCCATACTGCCCCCACGGACTCTAATCCTCTGAAACCATAAGCTTGAAAAAACTCTTTCAATCCAGAAGACACCATAGTCATGGTGTTTTATCACAGCAGTAGAAAAGTAAGGAATACACCAGCTGTTCTCAGAAGAGAACCTCCTGCAGCTAACTTGTTTACAGCTCCTTTGCTGTTCTCTCTTTCCTTCTGGAAAATAAAAAAGCCGTAAAAGCTTGCTTCATAAGGTTATGATAATTGTGAGAGCCTTTGGTTCCAGAACAACAACAACAAAGCAAAAATAAACAAAAGGAAACAAAAGCAGCACCAAACTGCCACAGCTAAAATAATCAATCTTTACATGGAAACGACTGTAATTGGTATCATGGTGGGGGGGGGAGAATAAAGCAAGTGTCTGAACTGTCCCATTTACTTAATAACTATGTGATATACAAAGTCTAGATGCTAACAGCTATGTTAACAATCTAAAGATCAAAATGTGAACAAAGGCACACAAATCCTGCCATTGTAAGTTTGTGGTCTAAATTAGGTTTACTAGCTGTGTATAAATTTATTACAGATATTAATATGAATGTGTAATCATATATAAGATCTCAAACATATTATAGCTCTTTTATAAACTTTCAAGATTTATTTTTATTATTTTAAAATGTGTGTGTGTGTGTGTGAGAGAGAGAGAGAGAGTCTGAGTGTCAGAGTGTGGGTATGTGCATGTATAGGATAAAGGCATTGGCTACCCCAGGAGTTGGTGTTATGGATGGTTTTGAGCAGCCTGACATGGGTACTGAGAATTGAACTTAGGTCCTCTGAAAGAATAATATGGAGCTTTTAACCACTGAACCATCTCTCAAGTCCTAAAGACAAGATACTATTAGTTTCTGCTATAGAAGATAAAGTTTCTTTCACTTACTTTTTCTCCACATCTGATCATTCCATCCAATCTCATCTCATTTTTGATGACATTTTTTTTCAGCCCTGGGCCCAATTAACTTCATCTTTAGTCTGTAATGACAGCACACAGTCCATATTTAGAGGCATACATTGTATCACTAAGTGAACTGTAATCATATTGTGCGTAAGCCTGGTTGTCTCTACTTGCCTTTCTATAACACAAAGAACTTAGTGTATACTCACATGGATTTCCACTTTTTACTAGAAATAATGACTAGATATTTATATATAATAACATTTCTGTACTGCTATTACATATGTTTTATATTCACATTGTTTACACAGTTGTACAAGAAAGTTGATTATGAATACATATTATTCATGTTTAATATTTTTTATCAGAAATATTTCTAAATTGGAGCAATATGTAGAGATTTCAGAGACAAATATCCTGTATAGCACAGCAGAATTGAACTTTTATTGGTTCAAATACAGTTTCTTCTTACTTGAGATATGGTGAAGAGAAAAACAAAATACAAACAGTATGTAAAGTACATGTCCTCATCAGGTATTCAGTACATGATAGTAACTATAGATATGAGAGGTTGGGGAGTTCTTCTTCCTCTAAGAATTTTCCTTTTATTTGGATTCTTTGTCCAGTATCCTGATAATAAGTTACTCCCAGGTGCCCAGGCATAGAAGTTTCAGTGGTGGGCAATCTATGGAAAAAACATAATACCTCATTCTTCATTTTTAACCTGTAAACCTATTTAGGATTAATAACTGAAGCAATGTTTGTGTTCATGAGAGTCACATACTTTGTCTTGTAGAACTGTCTAATAAAGTTGTGGTCTAACATTGGGAAAAAATCAAAATTACAGTGCCTGGCATAAACAAACCTTTCAGCAAATCTCTTTCATTAATATAGAGACATCAGTGTCTTGAACTACTACTTGGTTGAGTTCGGACTTCTGCATCTTAAAGATCACTTGGTTTTATAAAAACACAGTTATAAAAGCTTGGGATAGTAAAAGTAGAAAAACTGATAATATTTGAGTATGTTATGCAAAATAATTAGTTATACAAACTGGTAAGTAGGAAAAGACTATGCCATCTTCTGTTGTAGGCTGAGATCTAGGCTTGCACACTGTGAGAGCACACCATGCTGTTCTATTCTCCCTAATTCTGTTTCTTTAACTGTTATGAGGCAATAATAAAATACTTGACTCATTATTGCTTCTCCTTTTTTCAACGTTGTACATCGAAATCAGGGCTTTGTGCAAATGATCTACCACAGAGCACTATGTCCCCAGCCAAAGCATTATCGGGTTATTATAAAGAATTCATTATTCATGGAAAGCATTTTAAGGTCTCTAACAATTGGCAAGCATCTAATAAATGGGTAATAAATACTGAGAGCCTTTTATTATTGTTCATAGATAAGGCTACCATACTTTCTCATGCATACTAAAACCTTGAAAATGAAAAGGTGGAATGGGTCAGATCTACAGCAGATCAACACTGTAAACTAAGACCCATGGGCACTCTGTTTACAGTGCATACATTCATTTCTCCGTTTGCTTTAGAGAAAATTAGAATTTCAGGAGGGAACTCATGGCCTTATTCTATCACATTCTGTTCTCTCTGCTCAAATTCATATTATTCCACAGATATTTACTGAATGCCTTCATGCTGGCTCTTTGCAACAAAATAGAACTTCCCTCTAACATAAAAAGGTGAAACTTGGAAAGATGACCACAATAATTCTTTAAACAGAAGCCCTATATATATTTATCAGGTTTCATAGATGACGTTTTTCTCCACAGCTACATTTGTCTCCTGTTCCATTTATTGTCAAAAATCGTTCAAACATTTATCATGTTCTTTCAACAAAATTCATATCCTTGTTGACTTATTTTGGTTTTCTGTTTTACTCTAATACTCAAGAATTCATAACTTCAAATTCTGGTGATATAAGACCTAAAAGTCATGGGCAAATGAGAATCAATACATTATTGTTTTGTTGCTATAGTCTACAATAAAATCATGAGTTTTTCACTTGCTTGACAATAATTTAATGCACCACTCAGCTTCCATCTGATACAAAGAGCAGTTTCACTTATTTAAACATTTCTGTGTGGGCTCACAATAACACTTTACACTCACCTTAAAAACAGTTCATGAATGAAATCACAAATGGATGATGAAAGGTTCACCTCACTGCTAGAAATATTGACCCTCCAAAAAACCAGGGTCAGATTTATGCTGCTCTTGGGCTTTCTATTATACATCATCACTTATATTCTTTTTTTGTTGTTTTGTTTTATTTTTTCGAGACAGGGTTTCTCTGTGTTGTTTTGGTGCCTGTCCTGGATCTCACTCTGTAGACCAGGCTGACCTCGAACTCACAGAGATCCACCTGGCTCTGCCTCCCAGAGTGCTGGAATTAAAGGCGTGTGCCACCACTACCCAGCTGTCACCTATATTCTTATATGAATGGAGTAACTTTGAAGTATTATGCAATCACCCAGATAGGCATCTCTTAGGGATTCACATATAGGATTTCAGTTCACCACATGGCAAATTTAACCACAAGCAGCAGTTGTCAGGCGGACTCAAAACACAATAAATTATCAATCTCACCTTTTATAGTTAAGTGCTTTTATGTTGCCTGTTGTAGGAAAACAGTTTAACATAGTTCTAGCTATGATTGGTCTTTCTTGAGCAAGTTTTTATGAGTCTGAGTGAAGATAATGACAACCATTAATCATTGTCATTGGTAGAAGACATGGCACAAACAGTGATATTTATAAGCAGCTAAGACGTGTTGGGAAGCAGATGACTCCCTCGGACTTGAGCAGGCATTTGACTTTAGCTGACTGTCATGCTAGTGAAACTAGTACTATGCAGTGGACAAGTGTATCATGAGACATAATTTGTCTTTCTCTACAGGGCACCAAGCTTTATGTCTCTACCAACCCCAAGCAAGCACCCTGCTTAGTGGCTACCAAGTGATGTTCATATGCTGCTTTCATATCCTTACTTACCCAGGAATAAACTCTTTTAAGTCATTTGAAAATAATTGAACTTAATGAAACTTCAACAATTCTTAAAAACTCCAAGAATTCTTATAGGATCTCATTCTATCACCTAAATGATAAGGATTATGCATCAGTATTCAAAGTTCTTACTTTGTATAGGAACTTAAGACGAGCATGAAGAAACGACTCTTACAAGTTGAATTTTACTATACTAACACTGAAGATTAAAGTGGGGTTTGAACAGAGGAATGTGTCAGACAAACTCAAAAGCAAATCTTAGTTTGGAGTACCAGAATTCTCACCTTGTCTGTATGTAACCTATAATACCACTGATATTCTATGTTTATATAAAAGTTATCACATATAAAGCAATAGTTGATTTATGACATATTAACATGTTCCCTCTAGTTTGTAGAACTGCTAAAAAATATATGTTTGCAGAAATTGGGTCAGTTTTTAAAATGGAAAAATTATTTCTGGCTTTATTGTTATTTGGACAGAACAGATTACAACCATTCTCTTTTTGTTCTAATATAAAATCTCTGATATCTCCCACACTGGGGCTGTTAATTAACTGATCAAGTTAGCTGAACATCCTTGTTCACGGGGGGAACTGAAATGCATACTGAGGAAAGGAGAACACATTTCCTTTGCACAATGAATACAGCCTCACATCACACAGAGCACGGCAAGGACCACGACAAATGTATTTTACTAAAGCTGTGGCTTTCCTCTTCTTGTCCTCTGCCTAAACTCACCGCCATGAGGCTCAGAAATGGTGACTGATGATTGAAGGGAAATTTAAAACCTTGCCAACTTCACACTGTGAACACAACTAAGTAATGACAAACTTGATATTCCTGATCAAAGCTGACTGCTTTGGACACTAATACAATGGGCTGTTCATTTCTTAGTTGATTTGGCATTTATTAAACACTATTGAATTAAAATATATGCAATTGAGTTGATTAGAATTTGATTATTTCAGCTCTATATTTTTGTTATTTGTCATAAGTAGGAATTATTTGCCCATTGTTAACATTCTAACACAGAATCCCTATGTTTTCAACAGTTAAGCTGGTCAGTCCATATTTGTTATTGTTCCAAATGGGGTTGGCCAGCCTTACATACAGAGCATTGAAGAATGTGTTACCTGAGCAATTGGCTTATTTTTATTTACTTTACCTTAATTGTGTGTGTGTGTGTGTGTGTGTGTGTGTGTGTGTGTGTTAAAACAAGTCATTGTACCTCCACTGAATATACTTTGTTTAATTCTGCATATTGTTATATATTAATTCATATACTAATTGATGTGCTTATTTTTAAAGCTATTGAGCATCCATAACAAAAAACATTGGGCATGTTCTCCTGGCATTTCACATATAAACTGATGAGAAATGAAATAATAAATCCTTAATCTTGCCTCCAGTTAAAATTAATACAACATGCTACTACAGATACTTTATAATTGTTCCTTATATATTAACAATTAAAATACAAAAGATATTTTATTAAAAACACTGGGGATAAACTTTAAGTTTTATATATTCTAACACGAACCATAAGTTATTGTTAACTGTAGCTAGAATTGTTGGGAAATGTTCAAGTGTTTTATGTTATAGACATTCTGCTAATATGTGTACACTTTGAAATACTATAAGTGTACAGTTTGTAATATGACACCTGGGTCACCTGTAAGTAATGCTAATTCTGTAACTGAAACGTTTGAAAAAATGGTTCAATGCTTGTTGACTATTTGGCAAGTGTCTTATTTATGATAGACAACTAGTTTAGTAAATTTTTTTCTATTTTTCTAAATTTTATTGTTTAAAGTAGAATTCTGGCTTAACAATAAAGTCAGAGTCATGTAAATCCCTGATGTGTAAATTAGAAATTTTATACAAATAATGTTTGTTTTAAATCTGCAGTAAGAATCTCATTTACTTAGGTAAGTTTTGAGACGACCTGTATTCTTTGAATGACATAACAAACAATATTCTGGGCAATACAAGACGTTGTTGGTGGTTTTTTTCATTACACTTTTAATATTTTGTATGTGTGCATATGCAT